CGTCCACCTGTGGATGGCTGTCGCCGTGCTTCCGCTCAGTACCGTCGAGTGCGAGCGCGGCTTCTGACGACAAAACATCATCAAGAGTTGGCTTCGCGGGAACCTGTGCGACGCGAAGCTGGGAGAGCTGATGGCTGTGTCGCTCCTAAACTATGACATGGAGTGGCCCGAGTTGCTGAGGAGGTGGAATGCTTCCAAGAAGCGAAGGCCTGCTAACGATGTGCTGATGGCGTCCGGGGAGAGACAGAGCAAGCGTGCGAGGAAGAGATCGGCCGCAGCTGCAGCAGCAGCAGCTGCACTGGCAGCAGCAGAAGTAGCTGCTCGAGAAGCGGCCCTGGTAGCAGAAGCAGCAAGGATGGATTTTGAGTACCCGTGGCTTACCAGGAAAGTACGGGCCACAGTTCCCGTGGGGAGTGAGGATGGTAGTAGTGATAGCAATGAGGACTACGGCTCTAGTGACTCTGACTAGGTCCTTAGCTACTGCGTAGGTTGGTTGATAGAATGAGTATAATTGCAGGTAGTGTTCTTGTAGGCTGACTTGTTTTTTTTTTTCGTCTAGTTTATCAGACTAGGAAAAATATTTCAGCTTATACTGCAGACCACAAAAATTTCGGCGTCAAAGCCTAAGACCGGGAAAATGTTTTTCAGGGTACTGTCAGACAGGCCCTAAACCTAGCGAGAACCCTGGTGTAGTGGTGCTAACCAGATGAAATCAGTTCCTATGGCTAGGTAATAGGACGATGATGAGAACTGTGTGGAGAAATAGTGGAAAAAATAGCATCCAGATGTTGGCGCGGTGACATGTTGCGCAAAGGCACATCCACACGCACATTCAGGCCATCAAACGCACAAACATGCGCCACCAGCTGTGTAGTAGTGCAAACGAGATGAAATCAGATCCTATGGCTAGGTAATAGGATGATGAGGATAACAGTGTGAATAAATTGTGGAGAAAATAGCAACCAGCCGTTGGCGCAGTGACATGTTGCGCGCCGGCCTATCCTCGCACAGATTCGGGCCAGCAAACGCACAAACATGCGCCACGAGCTGTGTAGTTGTGCAAACGAGATGAAATCAGATCCTATGGCTATGTATAGGATGATGAGGATAACAGTGTGAAGAAATAGTGGAAACAATAGCATCTAGACGTTAGCGCAGTGACATGTTGCGCGCTGGCCTATCCACACACAGATTCGGGCCAGCAAACGCACAAACATGCTCCATGAGCTGTGTAGTTGTGCTAACAAGATGGAATAACATCCTATGGCTAGGTAATAGGGTGATGATGAGAAGTGTGTGAAGAAATAGTGGAACATCAAGCGACGACATGTTTGTATAACGATGAGCATGCTGGACAAGTTTGGTGTCATTCACAGCGTCTAGCATTACATCACCATGCGAAACGGTTCACCAGCCACATATCTACTGTCCTATCTAACTGAATCAGATGCACAGCCCGCTTGATGCTATGTATCTCAATCACTTGATACCTAGCTGCAAGTGGGGGCCATTTCAGGCGCTTGCACTTGGTGTCGCTGTCTTATGCGGGTTGCACGTCATAGTACTTGATATATGCGTACTCCTTTGTCTGCCCATCCACCTTGCAGTGAAACAGCAGTAGGACCTTTGCATACCACTCCTCGTGGCCGGCCTCTGTCTCACCCTTCACGGCCACGTCTGAATACCATGGCCGCCCATGGTGTCTCGGCAGGGCACGCACTCGATGAGGCAATCGGCTGTACTGTGCGTCGACCGCCGATGGCATGGCCATTTCCCAATGCACCTGACACGAAGACACAGTACACATTGTACGTATCACAACCATTCGCATCTAGGGACTGAAGGGACATGGTGATTCGTCACTAGTAGAACTGATGAACATAACACACCTGTATGCTCGCGATGTCCTCCCCCTTGTTGTTGCACCCAGGGGCTGCGTTCAGCGCCGTCCGCAGGTGTTTTAGATCAGCCCCAATTTCCTTCTTGAGCATCGCATCACGATTCGCCTGTGGTGCATTCGGGATGCAGAAAGGTGCCGCCTCCCTGCCGCGGGGAACGTGGAGGAGCCAAGATCGACGCGAGAGCACTCACACGCCCGTCCTTTGTGCCTGCGGGAGAAATGGGAATACTACCACCACGTTAAACCCTGTTAACGAACGATGATGCAAATGACACGACAAAATAACCACCTGACACGCACCTTGATCATCGCTGTGTCGTACGCCTTCTTCGCGCGAAGCATGGGTGCGATTGCTTGCAATCGCAAGCGCTGCTCCTCGCTCTGTACAACCTGTGCGTTCACTGTGCGCTTGTTAGATGCGCGATATGGTGTTTTGATGAACTCTATGTGCAAGTGCTCGTAGAGCTGGGCGGAGTAGTGCTCTGGCAATCCTGCACGACGGATCGAATCTATGAAGTGGCTAATCAGGTGCATTTTGATGAAGTTCCAATCTGATGCCTGCTTGAAATGCGTCGTCAGGCCGTGTATCATCCTGCACAAGAAAGAGTGGATGATTCAGATTTGGCACGGAGGGTGAATGATAAAGACGTGTCAAGCATTGCAACGAACACCACTCACCGGTGCGCCTTGGTCTTCAAGTCGAGCAGACTTTTCTCTGTGTGCTCGCCCGCTCGTGCACACTCCAAATACCATTCGACGTATGAAACGCACGCCTGCATCTGATCGTCGGTAATGAACCCTTTCGCTATGAAAGGTATAACTTGCATCACTGAACGATGCTCGTAGGCTTGGTAGTTTGCCCCCTTTGCAAAATATTCTCCCGACGGCAACCTCATGCATCCCCCCCTCAATGACTTTCTAATATATTTTAGCCGCTGATCTAGCACCTTCATCTTTGCAGGAAGGAACTCCTTAATGTGCGCGCGTATACTATCAACTATGTGCTCAAAAATGCCCAGGTCAGCCTGGTGCATGATATCGGGCAGCACGGCAAGGTAGGGGTTTAGCAAACTCTCCGCCTCCCATCGCCATCCCCATAGGTAGCTCTGCATGAGGCAATATCAGGATAGTTAGGCATCGATCATCATACAAATGGGCAAAAACCAAGAGTATACCATACCTGTACAGGGTGGGTTGATAGTGACTCATCGGAGTCGTCCTTGATGGTCTGTGTAGCAACCAGGTTGACAACGGCACGTTGCTCCGATGGCGTGCGTGCGTCGATGCGGTCGGCGAGCTGCGACAACTTCTCCTTTGGCACATAGCATAGCGAGCAAGGAAACGCCGTCGTACCCGACTTTGTGCATGTTACTTTGCACGACTCGGGGTAATCTGTAACATGTGCATACATGGATGGCCAAACGTTCATAACCTTGCCCTCCGCATCCACCATATTTACACCTGTATGGGATGCACGCTTCAACCCCGCCATCACCTCATTCATAATATAATGAAACACCTGCGCCTTATCTAGAGACTCATATTTCGGGGGGTACTCAGGGAGCAAAGCAAGCAAAACATGCCCATAAGGCTTCCACCTGTCCTCTTTGTCAATGTTCCCAAGTGTGAGATACACAGGATGACCCTTAGCCTTTCCTCTCTGATCCATATGTGTCTCGTCACTTGCTAGAATGAGTGCGGCCACCACACCCTCCGGGTTGATTTCTCGTATCTTCTCTTGGAGTTTCTCCCACCACAAAGCCGTTTCTGGAGTAGAGTATTTCTGCGTTTCCCCGTCCATAACGACTCTTGATTCCATGCTCATCTTGGAAGCCAGTTTCGGGTGCTTCAGCAGGTCCTGCAACGCAACAAGGCCATCACAGTACCAATACTCGACCCAGGCCTTGTTTCCCGCGCGGACGGTCTTGCGTCTCCAACCTCGATGCTTATCGGGCGCACGTGATTCAAGGTATTGTTGGACATCCCGCGCCGACTTCCATCCAACCATCTGCGAGAGTTGAAATGCTTGGTGGAAGAGAATGTCAAACAATGCCTTGATTGCCTTATGGGATATGTTGTTTGCCAACAACCAATGGGCAAGTGCGTCCTTGCCGTTGAATGGTGGTTCGGATGATGCCTCAACTTGCTCACCCTCTCCCACCACTCCGGGGTGGTCATCATTTGCAGCATAGTCATCCGCATCACAAGGCAGGCTCGCATTTTCAGCATCACTAGAACTGCACGTGGAAGATGCACTGCTGTTCGTATTATCGACTGGCGGAACATTCCCGACCGTGCATTCCATAGGTTGAGCAGAAACTGGAACATCTTGAAGCGATGTTGTGGGAGGGACAGAACTCGAAGCGACTGCGTTGGGAATGGGATTGGGGGCCATGGGTTGGTGGCGGGGCCGCTTGTGCAAGCTATGGTTGCTTGTGAAGTAGGGTTGATGCGACATGGCAATGTTGGCAGGGCAGGTTGACCCGCGCATGTGACTCTCCATGCCGGCCCGGGTCAAAAAGGAGAATCGTTTGCAGTTGGGGCAGAGGTAGTTCATCTGAAATTGGGGGGAGAAGATGGGGCAGAGAGGGCGGGGATTGGGCATAGATAAAGCGGATGGGGCTGAGAATGTGTGGAATGGGCAGAGAAATAGCGGATGGGGCAGATTAAGGGAGGTTTGGGCAGAAAGGGAGCGAATGGGGCAGAGAGAATGCAGAGTGTTGGTCTGAAAATGCAGAAGTCCGAGAGTGCTTGCAGATGGGGCAGAGAGAATGCTGATGGGGCAGAGTGAATGCAGGTGGGGCAGAGTGAATGCAGGTGGGGCAGAATGATTGCAGGTGGGGCAGAATGATTGCAGGTGGGGCAGAGTGATTGCAGATGGGGCAGAGTGATTGCAGGTGGGGCAGAGCGAAAGGGGTTGAGGAGGAGCGCAAGCGGGTTGGAATACCTTGACGAATATGGAGTGTACTGGACTGTCACAAGGGATGACGCCAAGTGCGGTGATGGACCAGTCGCCCCCCTGCTTTAACAACTGACAAGATAAAGAGAGAGAGAGCGCAGGGGTAAGTCAATGAGTGTGAGAAATAGCCCATGGTGCAGA